ATGTCTCAGTGATCTGAAGCACATCCGACGATCACCTTCTGGGCAGCGAGGGGGGGTTCCTCTAACGTTCCCCCGACAAATCTTCACCTTTAGCAGCAGACTGACGTCATTGCTTCGTACAGTTTCTCCCAGCGCACCTTTCAGGGGAACGGGCAGAGGTTAGCCCGAAAAATCGGCATGCGCTCCACGCACAAAAGCAGAAGAGTGATGGGTCTGCATCATCTCGCTCAGAATGTTTGCCCCTGTGTTGCAAGCATTTCCGTGGGGATCCCTTACCAGAATGACAGTTATTTTGCAGTCAGTGAGTCAGTGAATCCCGCTGGGATGCACTGAACGCACACCAGGTGCTCCCTGGCAATCATTTCTGGGGGATGAGAGCAACTGTGGTGTTCCGCTCCCCTCCCGGGTCAGTGGTGGGGAGGAGGGGGGGGTCTTGGATGGCATGGGGGACGGGGGGTGGGGGGTGGCAGGTGTGGGGGGTGGGGGGTGGGGGCCGTCCACCACTACCTGGTATCTAGGGTGGGTTTGGAGCCTTGAGCCCAGAATCTCACTGTTCAGAAGTCCACCTGGTTCATCTGAAGCCGAACAACAAGGCCACTGTCTACAGCACTGTCCGGTGGCTGCAGAGCCGTGCGTTGTTGTGAGTAATGCACAGGTCTGAGACTGTTCGTGAAGGTTTCCAAGCCAAAGCTGCCTCCACGATGCTTCGTACTAAGCTCCAGTCGGTTGCCTGCGTGGTGCGAGCGGTTTCGGGCACACACTTCAGACTAACAGAACACTCTGTCACTGAGTTGGGCTGAGCTCCGGACCAAAACCGGAAGTGAGGTCTGCGCGTACATCCACCTCAAAATGGTATTTACAAGTTCGTGCTCCACCGGCATGAGCCTCTTTCAACGTGTCATTCATTGATGTCATTTAAACCTTCACACAATAATAATGATGATGCAAATAAATGAAAATAGTAATAATAATAATAACAATAATAATTATTATTATTATGATTATGACAATAATGAACAACAACAATAATTATAATCATAATGGTATGTTCTTCTCATTACCATTAAAAGCCATGCAGTGCTCTTGGGGCCGGGCAGACAGCGAAACAACTCCAAGCGCTCTCTCTACCTGTCGTAGGGTACCTGACCCCCTCGAGCAAGCAAGTGGCGCACACCGACTGCATCTTTACGGCACATTCTTCAACGAACAATCCGCCGAGGCCTTGGGGAGCATATAAAGGCCCCCCAACCCCCGCCCCTATCGCGCACATTTCGGGGGCGCTGCGCGAGGAACTCAATCTAACCCCGTTTTACCCTGGACGTAAGAACCCCCAGCGCTGGCGCACTGTTTGGGGAGAAAAAAAACAGAAAGAGAGAATGAAAGAGAGAAACAATGAGGGCGAGCGAGACTGATGGGGGGACAATGAGAAAGAGAGAGACGGAGAGAGACAGAGAGAGCGCGAGAGTGCGAGAGCGAGAGAATGAGAGGGAGAGAGCAGGAGAGAAAAACTAAAACCCTATCATCCTAAACTTGAATTCCTAAAACCCTATACACCTTAAAACCGCCACAGGATTGGAGGGTTCAGGGTTTAGGGTTGAGGGTTTAAACTCGTACTGCTGAGGCTCCCGCTCTTCTGTCTCTTCGGATCCTACTCTTCGCCTAGACCCTACCTAAACCCTACTCGGCTTGGGGCGGTTAGGGTTTGCAGATGCTTCTAGGGCTTATAGGATAAGCTCAAGACCCCAAAGCCTAAACACCCAAACCCCAACCCCAAACTCTAAGCCCTCTCGTTCTGTTCTCGTGATCTGAAGCGAAGCATCTGGACGCAAAGCGCTCTGGGCCCGAAATCCTGAACCTTAAGCCCGAGGCCCCGAAATCCCAAGTCCCAACATGATGGGCAACACGCATGGACGCTGCCAGATCTGGATTTTCTTTGCCGTCCCTGTTCATGAGCTTCAGGGCTTAGGGTTTAGGTGACTTTTCTTTGGCTTGGGGGATATAGGGCTTTAGGGGATCTAGGTGCGCAAGCTAGTTTGAGGGATGTAGGGGTTTAGTGGTTTTGGGCATTCATGGTCTCCACCCGGCTTAGTATGTAGGGTATGGAGAACCCGACTCTAGTTTCAGAATCGTAGTAGACCAGGGTATCCCTTCTTCCGGGGTTGTCTTGTGGGGCACGCTGCTGGGACGCTATCTATACAGTAGATTGTATATTGGAGCTTGGGGCTCTTCATCAAGTGTACGGTAAGCTCCAGAAAATTGGAACATGGCCTGAAGGATGATTAGAGCTGGGATTCCATTCAGTGTACGTGTTGGGGTATGGGGATGAGGATGTTCCAACTTCTTGGAGATTACGTGTGGTTTGTGTTTAAGTTGCAGAGCACAGTGGGACCCAGCCATTGCTTTTTTGGTCCCTGCTAAGTGTGTCAGGGGGCATATATGGAGCCTCACATGAGATGGAATCCCTAAACCCCAAACCCTAAACCCTAAACCGAAACCCTAAACCCTAAACCCAGAACCCCAAAGCCAACAGCCAAAAAACCCTTCAAACCCCCGAAGCCCCAACCCCATAAAAGCCCCGGTCCTCACCACTCGAGAAAAGAAGAACACCCAAAACCCAAAACCCAAAACCCAAAACCCAAAACCCAAAACCCTAAACCCCAAACCCCAAACCCCAAACCCCAAACCCAAAACCCAAAACCCAAAACCCAAAACCCTAAACCCTAAACACTCCAGCCCTGTAGAATCCATTCCATGACCGCAAGCATGCTGTTAAAATCTACCTTTGGCTTTGCGCGTGAGCGAAGCCTTAACCGTAAACCCTAAACCACAGAACCCCTAAACCTACCACACAATTCCAAGAATCTGGGCCCACAGCCTTATAAACCCTGCCATTCCTAAAGAGACCGTAGGTTACACACAGCAGGGTTTCGGGTTAGCCCCTAAACGCCGGCATTTTGAGACTGCAACTGGCCACCTCGTTGAGGGTTTTGAGGGGCTTGGGGTTTGGGGTTTAGTGCCAAGTTTGGGGCTTAGGGTTATAGTAAGCTCACGAGAAAGTTGGAACATATCCTCACACTCTTGAAGGTAAGCTATCGGGAAACCCAGCGCTAAGTCATCCTAAACCCATGTTCCAACTTTCTGGAGTTCACAGTGTGCTTACACACAGAAGGGTCCTCAGTAAACCCCAAAACCGCGAGGTGTTGGGGCCTTTCTTACATATAAAACAAATGGAACATCTGGACCATTCGTAAGAATGCCCAAAGAAGCCCCCCATGGACACCCCGAAGTTTCTGCCAAGGCGCTCCCATGTTCTCAAACGCAGGACGTCGACGTCGATGCGGGGAAGGCCTGTTTGTGGCCAAGGGATGCCACCGACAGAAGGAGAGTGCAGTGCGCGCAGCACCCGCGGCAGCTTTGGATCTGCAGAGCTGAGTCAGAGTCGCGGACTCCGACGGGAACCAAGGTGACACTGCTGAGCATCAAGATTTGTGTTGCTCTTTGTGAATGCCTAAGACCCAAGAGTAACCCTGTTTGGCTTAAAGGGCAGCTCCGGACCAGTACCGGAAGCGCCGCCTCATGCATCCCGCCACCTGGTTTAGGGCTTGGGGTTTGAGGTTAAGGGCTCCAAAGGCACGAGATGGGTTCGACCTGCTCATGCCTTGGAAACTTCTCTTCAATTCGGGTCCCCTTTTTGGGGTGACAACTATAAAGGCGGGCCCGAAAGCTTCATGTAGCCCATGCAGTGCACTTTTTGGGAGGTGGAACCCTAAACTCCCTAAACTCCCTAAGCTCCCTGAACTCCCTAAACTCCCTAAACTCCCTAAGCTCCCTAAACTCCCTAAACTCCCTAAGCTCGCTAAACTCCCTAAACTCCCTAAACTCCCTAAACTCCCCAAACTCCCTAAACTCCCTAAACGCTAACTTACCTGTCTCAGAGTACCCAGGGCCTCGTTCAGCACACCGAGAGCGCAGCCCAAATGCGAAGATGTTGGTTGACTCAGGGGTTTAGGGTTTAGGGTTTAGGGTTTAGGGTTTAGGGTTTAGGGTTTAGGGTTTAGGGTTTAGGGTTTAGGGTTTAGGGTGACGGATCCTGAACACGAATATGATTGGTTCCCCCCCTCCTCGCTACAGGGGGTTTTAGTATCCCAAAAAGTGTAGAGTGTACTCACTCAGCTACTAAGATTTGCATGCTGTGAAGCCTAAATCCCAAAGCCTCTCCGACATGGTCAGATCTCGAAGTTCGGCTCGCGGAAGCAGGGCTGCTAAGCAAAACGACAGAGATTAGGGTTTAGGGTTTAGGGTTTAGGGTTTAGGGTTTAGGCTACTACGGGGGATTACAGAGGTCCTTATTGGGAACATGTTATGGGAGTTGCAAAAAACATGATAAAGACATGACAAGGATCACAGGGCGGGGTGATCTTCATACCTAGGATACACCTGACATGACACGAACTCTCAGCAGGATATGATAGAGTCATCTAGAATTCTGAACATACAAAGTGTAGCAAACTTAGCTAACAATTGGGAACATTAGTTTCTTCCTATATGAGAGGGAAAGCTGAAACCAGGCATCGGCAAGCGTCAGGATGGGCTATTGCGCCCTATAACCTCTTAAGAAAGCCCTGAAATGGGATTGGTTCTGGGGGTTACAGGAACCCTAAACCCTAAACCCTAAACCTGAAATCCTAACAGCCCACCCTGGCACCGGAGCATCTTCTTTTTCTGAGCTCGCGTGACGCTTCTCCCAAGTGAGACGGAGGGCGCAGTCGATGCTTCGCGCATGCAACTCGACTTCATGACTTTCCCGCACATATACATACACACATATATATATATATGTTTATATTTGTTTAATATATATATATATATATATATATATCTACGCACATGCTCTGCAATAGTTGCTGTTGGGGTTTGGGGTTTGGGGTTTAGGGTTTTGTAGTGGTTAAAACTCCTCCTGCCGTCCTCGAGGGCTTTGGGGTTTTGAAGCTGCGGATGCCTTAGGCAGCGCAGCTTCGGGGGCAGTAGCTGGGTAGCGAGGCGCCCGCGGCCGCGCAGCCGCAACTTTCCGGGCAGATCCACGCCAGCCCGCGAATCAACTCGGGATCACCCTCGCACCAGGTGACTTGAGAGCCGACGATGTACTGAAACTGCGGATGCTTCAAAGTGACGCAGCCATCTGCTTTCATGGTGGCAACTAAGGCTTCCAGGACAGGAAGGGCGGAAGATTGCTGGATGCTGGCCCCGAACTCATGTATAAGGGTGGGCAAGTAGTCGTCCCAGATCTGATTCCAAGTTTCATCCATAGGCCTTGGTAGGGCCAGCAACCATATTAGAATAAGGATAGCCCTCTTTTGTAGAGACAGCTGCTTTCATCACGGAACCCCTAAACCCTAAACCCGAAACCCTGAGCCCTAAACCCTAAACCCTGAACCCTGAACCCTGAACCCTGAACCCTGAACCCTAAACCCTAAACCCTAAACCCAAAAAAAGGGGGGGGAAAAGGGGGCAAAAGCGGCATCTAATGGACCTAATGGCTGCTAAGAGGCCGATCCTTGCACTCCTCAGATGCGAGCCGCTGCTGCGCAAGCTCCAAGCAGTCCTCTTTCAAAGGGTTGTTCAGGGAGGGTTTAGGGTTTAGGGTTTAGGGTATAGGGTTTAGGGTTCTGGGTTCTGGGTTCAGGGTTCAGGGCTTAGGGTGCAGTCCTCTGAGCAGCCGTGGTTAGGAACCTTGTACCATGCATTCGTAAAAGGATCTGAACACTTGCCTTGGAATTGAGGGTTTATATAGGGTTTAGGGTTTAGGGCTTAGGGCTTAGGGTTTAGGCCGGTCTGAGAAACGAGCAGTTTGCTGACGCGCCTAATTGGGAGCCCTAGACCTCCCCCCAAAAGGATGGCTGACCAGAACTTGACACACACGATGAAAAACGCCGCTGAATCCAGAGACTCCCTATACTCCCCTTAGAACCTTACTGAAAAAAACAATATCTTTCATATCCTCTTGAATTGTATATCGACAAAAACAAAAAGAATAATTCCCAAGGGGGATATAGCTCCAGGTTGCAAGTAACTCCACACACCATCCGCAGCAATCTTGCATCGGGCAGGCTGCAAAGGTCTGCTACCTGCTGGCCCTAAACCCTAAACCCTAAACCCTAAACCCTAAACCCTAAACCCTAAACCCTAAACCCTAAACCCGAAACCCTAAACCCTAAACCCTAAACCCCAAACCAAAGGTCTGCTACCTGCTGGCAGTTGGTGATGTGATCCAAGCGCCCCAGTACTGCGGCCGCAGTCCGGAGCCGAAAGTGTAATACGCTGCCAATTGCAGGATCCTGGTACCACGGTTGAGGGTTTAGGGTTTAGGGTTTAGGTTTTAGGGTTTAGGGTTTAGGGTTTAGCGCAATATGCTGCCAATTGCAGGATCCTGGTACCACTGTTCCCCTTCGGTGAAGTACACGTGCTCCACACCTAGGTCGGGCCAGGAAAACCTTCCGCCAAAAACACTCCTACACACAATCCTCTCTTCAAGTCTTAAACCCAACACGGGCAATTGCATATGACAAAATATCCCTCACGGGCGTTGGGTTAGCCCTGAACCCCAAAGCCTAAACCCTGAAGCCTAAAACCTAAACCCTAAAACCCTAAAACCCTAAACCCTAAACCCTAAACCCTAGGTTCTCGTGCAAGTCGCAAAGGCTGAACTGGGCGGCTTCTTCCGCTATGGACCGGCTTCTGTCCCTTTCAAAGACATTGAGGCTCTGTACAAAGCCGATGTAGTAGGGCTCCTCATGCCTTGTTAGGGTTTAGGGTTTAGGGTTTAGGGTTTAGGGTTTAGGGTTTAGGGCTTTAGGGCGCTTCGGGCGATGTGGTAGGGCTCCTCATGCCGTGGTTCCTCTAATCAGAAAGGATGGATTTCTTGTTCCCTACTCTGGAGTAGACCCTGGAACAAAAAGTATATACTTGTTGGGTGGGGTTTAGGGTTTAGGGTTTAGGGTTTAGGGTTTAGGGTTTAGGGTTTAGGGTTTAGGGTTGTACAATAGGAACCCAGAACCAAAAAAGCATTACAGTATGGTACTCCAAAATCCAGTCTTAGGGCTTAGGGCTTCGGGTGGTAGCTTGGGGTGCTCTCCCAAGGATTCGAGTACCCCCTACTACAATCCCGATCAAGGACTGCTAGTATAAGGGTGAACATCCGAAGGTAGCCAGAAAACATTTAAAAGAAGCAGCTCTAACACAAACCCAGATGCGGGCCAGCGAGCTTGTGGATGTCTACGGCACGCTCGATTGGCGATAAAGCTGAGCCCTTGCGACCCCCAATTGGAATGTCTTCTGAGACGAGGCCTGGTCTCCCCAGTGACATAGACCCAAAACCCTAAACCCCAGACCTCTAAACCCTAACCCCCCGCCCCCCCTCCGCCCGTCCGCTCCAAAAAATAAAACGAAAGGGTCGGTGATTTCAACTGGACTAGGGTTTAGGGTTGGGGTTTGGGGTTTGGGGTTTAGGTTTAGGGTTTGGGGTTTGGGGTTTAGGGCTTCGGGTTTAGGGTTTAGACCCGCAGCATGATCCAGAAAGAGAAAAAAAAAACAGGCTCTCTGGGAGGTCCGGATGCCAAAAATGACTTGGCTGTTCTGGTTTTGACCTTGGTTGGCCCCATAAAGCTTCTCCAAACTGGTCAGTTTAGGGTTTAGGGTTTAGGGTTTCGGGTTTCGGGTTTCGGGTCTCGGGTTTAGGGTTTAGGCCGTTTAGGGTTTAGGCCGTTTAGGGTTTAGGGTTTAGGGTTTAGATGGCCCTCTTACACCCAACAAGGGGGGGAAAAAGAAAATGTCCCAAGAGCCTACCCAGTGACCCACCACGAAGGTCTGATTTCCGAAGCAGAGCTCCCGCTTCACAGCGAGCATGGCGTCGGCTTGGGGCTTCCTTGCACCGGGATGGGGGGGTGTTTAGGGGTTTGGGTTTAGGGTTTAGGGTTTGGGGTTTGGGGTTTAGGGTGTGTCAGGGGAGGGCGCGCGCTCGGGTGTGAAACACCCCGGGCCGCGCGCTCGCGTTGCCCGTCAACCCACCCCGGCCACCCAAACTATACTCTATTCGGGTTTAGGGTTTATGGAATTTATTTTCTTGTGCTCTGATCCTTGCTTTGATGTTTTTAAAGTTGCGCTGTTTGGGTTTAAGCTGGGGTTGGGGGTTTCGGGCCTTCGGCGTGTCAGGGCCTGTAGAGGCCCTTATTTATTTGAAGGTCAGGGAAACCCTTTGTGCCTGCTCCTGGATTCCCCTTCTTTAAGGGCCTCAATTAAGCCTTTTGGTGGCTCTTGGGGCCTTTTGGGGGCTTCCTGGGGGCTTTCCTGGCCCTGCCGGGGTAAAATGAAGGAAAAAACCATCGATTTCAGTACCAAAAAAATCGCATTTTTCATTGCGGGTGCGGGCATCCTGGGGTCCCCCTTCTTTTAGGGGGCCTTTTGAAACCTTTTGAAGCCTTTTGGTGGCTCTTGGGGTCTCTCGGGGCCTTGTTCGGACCTTCGGCGTGTCAGGGGCCGTAGAGGCTTCATTCATTTGAAGGTCAGGGAACCTATTAATTTTTTTTCGCCAATGAGTATTTCAATCGCTAGGGTTTAAGCTGGGGTTCGGGGTAGCCGCGGCCCTTTTCGGGCCTTCGGCACGTCAGGGCCGTAGAGGCCCTTATTTGCTTGAAGGCCTTCGCAGGGTTTTGCGGTGTTAGGGTTTAAGCTGGGGTTCGGGGTAGCCTCGGCCCTTTTCGGGCCTTCGGCACGTCAGGGCCCGTAGAGGCCCTTGCTGATTTGGGGGCTTCCTGGGGCTTTCCTGGTCTTTTGGAACATTTTTCATTGCGGGCAGGGGTGCCTAAAACCATCGTTTTCAATATTCAAAAATCGCATTTTTCATTGTGGGCACGGACAAATCTTGTGGTCCCCCTTCTTTTAGGGGGCCTTTTGAAGCTTCTGAAGCCTTTTGGCGGCTCTTGGCGCCTCTTGGGCTTTCCTGGCGCTCCCTTGGCACCTCCTGGACCCCTACCAGCCTCCTGGTCCAGGAATCCAGCTACCAGGGGCCGGGGGCCCCTGGGGGGGGGGGGCCCGGCAAACCCTGAACCCAAAACCCTGAACCACCTTCCAGAGGCAAAGGGCTACGATTTGGCGTTATACTTCAGCTACGCTAAAGGTGGTCTGGGTACTGACGTTGTCGTAAAAAAGGCCGATGTCCGTTGGCCTGTCCAGGACAGACGGTGAGGCTTAACCCTCACCTTTCCGTTTCTCTTTTCGCTTGGGCGCTCGGGCTGTAAGGCCATCGGCCGAGCGTTCGGGGTCTGTCGCTCGACGGAAGACCCCTCACTTAGTTTAGGGCTTAGGGTTTAGGGGTTCAGGGTTCAGGGTTTAATCGCTTCCCCCTAATACTAAGCCCCCGCCCCCGAATTTTAAATATGATTTCCCCGGACCCTGCCAGCACCCAGCCCCGTACTAAACCTATTTGAGAATTAGGGGGGAGGGGTTCAGGGCCTGTCGGGAAGGGCTGACTGGATCGGAATCTCTGCCAAAAAAAGGCTGCGACTGTCTCGTCTTCGGCTTTGGGGTTTTAGTCGGTTTCGGAATTCAGGTTTTAGGATTTAGACCCCCCCTATAATTTTAAAAATTTTTCGGGCCCAGGCGAATTTCAGAATTAGGGGGGGGAGGGATTTAGTATTATGGGGGAAGGGATTAGGGTTCAGGAATGTACTACACCACCAAAATACCCCTCAGCTACTCAACGGCTTCGCAAAGGCGGAGCAAAGTCTCAGCAGGATGATGTAGGGCGCCAGAAAGGTCGCCAGCAGCACGAGGAAGAGAATGAGGCTCTCCAGCCTCGGATGGCCCTTCAAACCCTTTGAAAAAAACACTCCTGAATAGGTTTAGGGTTTAGGGTTTCGGGTTTAGGGTTTAGGGTTTAGGGTTCAGGGTTTAGGGAAAACAGCTCCTAAATAGGATCCTCTTATAAGCCCCAGAAGGGAAACTACTTAAACAAAAAACACCTAAACGCTAAACCCTAAACCCTAAACCCTAAACCCTAAACCCTAAACCCTAGACCCTAAACCCTAAACCCTAAACCCTAACCCTAAACCCTAAACCCTAAACCCTAAACCCTATGCGGAGCTGCAATTGGTATTGTAGAAAGGAGTTGGTATTGGAAGTTGAAGGGTCAATGAACCCGGTAATCTTTGGCTCAAGCCATGACCAAAGCGGTCAAAGGTTTCGTAAAAAGTGTGCCCTTGGTTTGGGGTCTTGCTGTTCGGTTGTTGGTTGTTCCAGGGGTAATAAGGGCTTCTGTTGGGGTTGACTGTCTTGTTCCCTGTCCTCCTTCGGTTGCCCCCCGTAGGTTATGAGCCCAAATTAGGCTTCCTGCGGAATTGGTAAAGATTTTTTTGTTTGTTTAACGCCATGGACATGATGCGGCGTCGCTCTGAGCCTGGACTGTCGCCAACGGCCAATGAAGCCGAAGGAAATCGTGGTGATGGGGGTGAAGATCGACAACAAATGGTACAAGCACTGACAGATGGTAGGGAGGTTGCAATGATACAACCAACGCCTCAGGTGGAAAACGAAGTGGTTCCGGTTCAAGCAGCAAATCCTTTCTGGAGCGAGCGGGCTCAAGAAGAAATGAGACTTAGGCAATCAAGGCCGGCAAGTCTTCCCGCGAGCGGAGGGGATAGGAGTGGTGAAGGTACGAGGAGACCGCCTTCGCTGCAAGACCTTTTGGGTCAGGAACCTGCACCTGTTGAGAGACCATCGTCAGGCTTAATGGGACAAATGGAACGAGGTACTATTGGTGGAGTGCAAGCCGACGAAGAACTCATTCCTGATGTTAGTGGTGAAGAGCAAACTGAAGATATGGCGGTGGTGAAGCGTGCGCTGAAAGAGTTGCTTGTGCAGACAAAGGAGCTGGGGAACAGGTTGCATCGGGTGGAGGAAAAAAGCTATACCTCTGCTGCATCTGGGTCAGCTTCAAGGGCACGGAGCTCTGGAGTGGTGGACGCAAACACGGCATATCCTCTAGGAATGACTCCAGAGAAGCAGTACCTGCCAGGACAAGTTTTCTACACGGATGGTATGGGTGGTTTTTGGACTGTGTTGCCTGATGGGACATGGCTGCCTATTGAGGGCTACGACCTGCCAAAGGGTTGTGATCTTCAATCCTTGCCTGGGTCCAGGAAGGGGGATGTTCAAGTGGAGGATGAAAAAGAAGTGCCAATGATGCATGTAGCTGAAGGGAAGAAACCCTCCAGATTGCCTCCATTGAATTACCCCACGGGAGGTCCTGCAAGTGGTGGATATGCAAGTGGACCACCTGGTTTAACACATGTTCCGATTATTTCCGTGCCATCAGGTGTTGATGGTTCTGTCGCACCTGCGGGGAACCAGCCCGGTTTTGTTTCAGCTCGGGAAACTGCGACGCAAGAGAACTCAGCAGGATCGGGTGGATATACAATGGTGGATGATGTTCCGTATCGGTGGAAAATGGTCGCTGGGAAGTTGGAATTAGAAAAGGTTCCGCTCACAGCTGTTACGCCCGGTATA